CGTATGTACATACTGTAAATAGTTATAGAGTAAGTCTTTACATTAAGTTTCCTTTTCAATCTACGTTTTTATCACTCTGCTGGAAGTTTTGGTGGTTTTCAGTGTTGCTGATGGGGCTCTTGGGTTCTGGTTGCCAGGTTGTTTTGGGAGGTTTTCTGTGTTTTTGACATGCGTTTGGCAGGTTTTTCTGAGCGGTCTCTCTGTGTTGTTGGTCAGTTGCTGGACTCCTCTAGGTTGGTTATTCACTATTACGATAGAGTAGGTTAGGTTAGGTTAGGTTAGGTTAGGTTAGGGTCCCTCACATGGTTTGCAGCTTGACGTGCTGTGAGGGCTTGTGTGCATCAGTGATGCTGAGAGCTTCACCACTGGTACTTCACAAGTACTGGCAGGGTCACCCATAGTGGACAGGTCTCAGCTGAGATGCCAGACAAAGACAAACCACCTGATTCCGGACAGAAGATTGGCCTGATGTCTCTGAGAGTTACAGCACAATTGCCTGAATGAGTGAGGAAAAACATAAACAGCCCCCCACCCCCAGTAATCATAAAACATGATTACTAGCTCTTCTTAAAATAATTTTCATGTCCTGCAAAAGAGATTCATACAGATTTAAATGACACAAAGGTGCATTAATGATGAACTATGCTTTTTTGTTAAAGAAATATTTTAAATAAATTTTTAATTAATAATTTAAAATGAAGTAGTTTAATGAAATGATTAGAGATTATGAAATGATTTCTAAATTAAAAAAAAAAATCTAAAACTGTCAGTGCGTGGCAGTTATGTCTTATGAGTCGCTTTAATTAGCCTAAGACTGAAAACAACTGAAACATGCAACAACGAGGTAAACAGCTGTTTGGATCCTTCAAAACCAAAGACTGTAAAAAAAAAAATAAAAAAAGTTATTCAGAAAGCTGATGCACAACAGTTCTTTTGTGGCTTTAAAGGTGTTTACTTACATTTCTCTTTTCTCTCTAGGTCAACAGTCTTTTCTAAACTTAACTCAGATCCTGCGCTCAAGGCTACTCTTTTAGACCAGAGCATTTCACTATCAGAACAAATGTGCACATCTTGGTTCAATAGAAATTGAGGTACTGATGATAACATGAGATTGTGTAAAATATATATCCCAGCTGAAACAAGTAACATAATGCCTTACTTTACTAAGTACACATTTATTTTTTATAAGTAACACAAGGATGCCATAATACTACTTTTAAAAATAACTTTCCCCAACATTGCATATCATAGTTATTTCTGTTTATTTTTTCCTTTTAAATTTCATTGTCATTGCATTGTTTCAATCCGTAAATGCTAGGTTATGCAATTACAGTAATTAATCTATACTCTAAACATGCCGGTTTGTTTCAATTCAAATTTGGGTTAAAACATCAACAAACCCAATAATTTAGATTTAATTTAAAACTGAACCAAATGCAAGCATTGTCCATATTTTACTTACATTTTGGCTGAAATATCTCAGCAATTTCTTAGAAGATCACTTAATTACCAATAAACAAGTTTTTACTGTAGTAGACATTTTCCGTAGCACAAAACCTTTTACTGTGTATGTCAACGAAAGAAAGAAACTTAAACAGGTTTGGACTAAGTTGAGTGAAGATAGGTAAACGAGAACAGAAGATTCTTTTTTTGTGTGAACTATCCCTTTAACTGCTGTGTTTTCTTTGTGCAGCACATATTTGCATTCATTTAATACAATGGTATATGGCTTTGACTTTATTCACCTTGGGTAAACTGATGTTCACTGTTTATTTTTGGAAATGCAAGTGGCATTTGTATTCAATGCAAAATTATTCATGCATTGATCAAATTAGGAATCAAATTGAAAATCAAATAAAAATGAGTGCTTATAAGTTAGAATCAAATCAGGGCATCTAAATTGATAGCCAAGAGGCCATGCCACTCAATTATTTGAATTTTCCTTTTGAGCTTCAGAAAAGAAAACAAATGAACTGCTTGAAGTTTATATAGGACTTTAAAGACCACATTCAGACATGAAGGGATACTCAAAAAATAATGTTTGCTATTTGGTCAAACTGCAAAATAAAATTCATTATATAATTATAGTAAAAAATGCAACACAATTCTTGATTTTTTGAGGGAAATTTAATTGTGTCATGTTTAATCTACTTAAATCTGCAAAAACTAATAACTTAATTCCTTCATATTGTCCCAACACATATCGATTGTGTGGAACCCAGCATTTTCCACAGTGAAGTTAAAGCTATTCAAGGTATTCAAAATAATGAAAGAAGACCATGAGAACGTGGGACAGCCATTATTGAAGGTGTTTTGGCATTTGCCAGCTAGCTTTTATCCTTATCCCTGCAGCCCCTTTACACTAATTCCCACCTGTGATCTCAGGTCAACAACTCTAGCCATTAACCAGTCATATGGCGTCATTGTTTTGACCTGAAAAGCAGGGGACTCGTCACCGTCACCATCATCAATTTGAGGTGAAATGCCTTAAACATCAGAAAATTACATTCAGTTGGGGAGGGGGGGGGGGAGGGGGGGAGGTAACAGTTCATCTTGATGGTCTCTTTTAGACATTTGTACATCAACCAAAAGTCTTTGCTGTATAGCATTAATGCCTGTTTAATATCTGCTAACACTGATGATCCACCAACAGACTTACTTTACAAGTATTAGTTTGTATAATCTTACTATTCTCATAAGAATTAGTTGACTTTGGGTTGGAAAGTTATACAGAATGTCTAAAGGGGAGCATCAAGCGGGCAGCAATGTCAATTTTATCAAAACAGCTCCAATAGTATCTGGAGGCAGCCTTCATGATGCAAGCGGAGACTGCATATCTCAGTGATGCAATGTCAGATACATTGCACTCAATGGACGTTGCTACTAGTGACGTCACTGTGAGGGTTAGGGTTAGAAGTGTTGTTAGGTGAGCGCATTAAAAAGCATTGGATGCAGCTCAGATTGCACTGCACCAGGTCTGCATCCAGATCCCTCTACCATGTCTTACTCAATTTCAGTTTAGCATTGAACTAGAGGACCAAGAATAATCAGAGACTTTTTTAATGAATATACTTGAAAAAAATATAGGAAATTTAAATGTTGGGAAACTTTACCATTTAAAATATTTGTCTATATATGCAATTGAAGTCAGAATTATTAGTATATTATATATATGTGTGTGTGTGTGTGTATGTGTGTGTGTGTGTGTGTGTGCATTTGTTAAAGCTGATTTTACACAACTCCAGTCATATTCCCTCTGAAATAATCATATGCTTAACAAGCAAGCAACCATTATTATCATCAGCAATTTTTAAAAATGTATTTTTTTTATGTAGAAAAGTATATTTTTGGGATTTTAAAATAAAAGTTTAAACAACATTTTTTTGGTAATAGCACTTATGTAACTTTTAATAGCCAACTTAAATCATTCCTGCCTAATAGAGATAAACATTTTTCTTAAAGTCCATTACTACATTAATGAATTAATTCCTCTTACTGAGTCAATAACTAAATGAAACAATTAATTCATCTTACTGACCCCAAACCTTATGAAAAATATATTGTAGCCTACAACATTGAGGGGAAAAAAATCAAATCCCAAGCAGAAATGGAAACATTCTCCCCTGCAGACTCTCCACTTATCTATTGCACATTCGCCACCATTTTATAGGATTGCCTGTGCCTCTAAGTTCTGCTTGTTCCGCTCATTAAAAATGATTTGTGTCTTAGCAGGTAACTTTTCCAAGCACCTCCCTGTGCTACTTTCCTCCCTGCAGGCTGGCCATTCAGCTCACTTCTGCTGATAGAAGACTGCACATAGATCTCAGTTCAAAAATCAGAAATGGTGAAGGACGTACGTTATTGACACACGCTGTGATTTATGTTAGGGTAAATCACTGCTATAGTGACCACATCCTCAGAAACAAAGTTATAAACTAACATGCGTATACTGTAGGCTACTGTTTAAAATGTACATTTTTGTACTTTGAAGTACTCATGCGTACATTTCAAGTACCAATGTGTACTTTTAAGCCACCAATATGGAGTCACAACAAGGCCAAGTCTACGTCCGTTACACACAGTTAAAGATCTGCTGATTCTGATATATTGGTTGCCATATCACAACTTGGAAAATCAGCATTTTTTCATTTAGAATTGCATATTATGATTTCATGTCCTGTTTTTTGGTTCATTTATTCATTTATTTTCTTGTCGGCTCAGTCCCTTTATTAATCCGGGGTTGCCACAGTGGAATGAACTGCCAACTTATCCAGCAGATTTTTATGCAGCGGATGCCCTTCCAGCCACAACCCATCTCTGGGAAAGTTTTTTTGTTCATTTATTTCGTTATTGTTCTTTGGCCAAAGCTCCCCAGTTTGGATGTGGACTGAGTCTCATTTTATTCAGCAGTCTTGACCTGTTTGCTTCGTCTGGTTAAAATCATTTACACAATGATGGAATTTAACGGCTGTAAAACACAGTCCCTTCTGATCTGTAGACATGCCTATAGCGACAGACCATAGAATCTGCAGTCTTCTGCTATTAGTGCACCCTCCTAGTGATCCCACCCTCCCAATTTGCAAAATAGCAGGCCTAGCTAATAAATTTAAATGTTTACGTTTTCTTCAGTCTGCTTCTGTTTAGCCGTAGAATTCAGGGTGGACCTCATGTTTGCACGAATTAAATGCGTTGTATCTCTCCCAAAAAAATATAGGTTAATGGCGAGGGACTTTCAAATACATTTTTGTGGCCTTAAATCTTTGGTTGAACCCATGACGCCATATTTGTCTTCGTGGCACATGTAAAGATGCTTTCATCGCTAAAGTTGTTTAATGGAGGTCGATCCACTAATGTCTATGACAGGTCCGTAATGCACGCATGTGTTCCCTCGTGCCCGTGTGTCGTAATATCGTGTGCACGCATGTTGTATGGGGTGCGCGCGCAGCGGCACACGCGCGCTCCCGCTCACGCTCTTTGGCAGTGTCGCGCGGGCTGTCGGGATCATGTCCGCCATGTTTTCACACCAGCCGAGAAAAAAAAGCCCGTGAAAAAACACCACAACTCGCTCAGAGATGCCTTTAACCGTCGGATTTCGATCGGAGGGAAGTCAGTGAGCGCGGCCGCGGAGAAAACCGTCGGCTCGTGTGTGTATTTGTACCGAATGATCCGTGTTCTGTGTATTTGTGATCGCTGAAAACAATGAGTAAACTCTCGTTCCGCGCGCGAGCGCTAGACGCCGCCAAACCGCTGCCCATCTACCGCAATAAAGACCTCCCGGACCTCACCGACTGCGTCTCCATCAACCGAGCGGTCCCACAAATGCCAACCGGGATGGAAAAGGAAGAGGAGTCGGTATGGAAATGATTTTAAATTCATATTTTTTTATGAGGTTCAGGTGCATAGCTGGGTGTTGGTATTCACGTAGCCTTTACGCATGTTTACTACGTAAGTAAATTCTTTGCTCACGGAGGTTCGTGCGCAGCGTCCCGATGATCAGAGTTACGTATTAAATGTACGCTAGTTGCGTATTCGTGGGAAATGTTCTACACTAGTGGCGTGAGTAAGGTAATTTACGTAAGTGATTTGCTAGTGGTAAACGCGCATTGACGTCAGTCTTTTTGCGCAAATGCGTTCGTGAGTAGCGTATGTTACGACAGGAATACACGAGCTGAACAGCGTGCGTCTCTAGCTAGAATCAAGGTTCGATTCTTCAGAGTTTAGTTCGTGCAGCAGCGGGCCTTACGCATCAGTTTAACGCAAATGACAGATAGTGTAGTCTTTTAATATGCCACATTTTGTCTTTGACATTGAAATGTAAATTGCTGCGGTATCTGAAAACGGAAATGATTCGTACCATGCTGAACATCAAAACACTACTGTATTGCCATTTTATACTCTAGCACCACATAGTTTGTGTCATTGTGAAAGCATACAACAAATAAAGAAATCTAACTACAATTTGCATCATTGTTACTGTTGTTATTATTGTTATTGCTATTATTTAAGCCTGTCAGGATTTTTTGGTTTAACTGTCGTTTTTTAAACATAAAGCTTATGCCTTCTATAATCATAATATCCAAATCTAAAATAATATAGGATTAAAAGCCTTTAGTTGTCTTTGTGTACTTCACAACAATTTTATTATTTTAATTTCTAAGAAGATCATATCTAACAGAAACAAAATGAGCATCTCCTTATCTTTATACTGTGTGTGAAGCTCTAGAGACTAGCAATCTTTGGCAAGGCGAGTGAAATTTAAACTGCACAATTAACTCAAATAATTATTGTAAATAACTTACTACAAATATCTACTACAGTCAGACGATTTAAAGTCTATTCCTGTTGTTCTATTATTATTATTATTATTATTATTATTATTATTATTATTATTATTAGATGGTTGTATTAACATAAAAAGTGTTATTGTATGTAATGATAATAACACTAATACTGTGTGGTAGTAATTATTATTAATAATATCTGAGAAGAGTTTGTCTGGCCAGTCAGTGGTGTAACCAACTAGCATGAAGCTGCAGCTTTGGTTGTTTCATGTGTCCATAAAAAGCTTTATTGACCTTTTAAGATTGATTCATCATCATTAATTTGCTTTGAACAATTGAGTTTATTACAGTAGCTACAGAGCATCTTTTTTTGTGCTGCAGATTGCATTTTCTCTCCTCACCAAGCTGATAATGAACCGCTCACCTTTCTATTATTGAACTTGTCTGCTACAGTAACTGTCTAATGAATCCAAAAGTGATTGGAACAACTCGAGTTCATTTGTATGCTTGTGAGCTGTGAAAGCCATTGCAGCGGGTTTCATCACGTTGCTGTTCTCAGCTGCATTAGAAGTCGTACTCGCCCAATTCTTGCTTCCATCTCTGTGTGAGTTTTTAACTTTTTCGTATTCTTGCTGAGACCAGCTACGTCAACTAACTGTGGAATTTTTGGTGCTTGTATTGGGTGACAAATCTTTATTGTTCTGGCACAAATGGTGTAACCCTTTCACAAACTCCAGTTGGCCCAATTCGTCATTGAAAAATTAGCTTTGCTCACTCTCTTTTTTTTTTTATGGTTTGTTTTTTTTAGGAGCACCATCTCCAGAGGGCCATCTCTGCCCAGCAGGTGTTCAGGGAAAAGAAGGAGAGCATGGTCATCCCTGTGCCGGAGGCTGAGAGTAACATCACCTATTACGACCGTCTGTATAAAGGAGAATTTCGCATCCCCAAACAGCTCATCCACATCCAGCGTGAGTCATTCGCAACATTCACCTCAAGACAGTAGTGATGTCAAAAGTATTGATGCTGAAGGATTTGAAACAATATGATATTGCTTTTCTGAATATCGTCACTTCTGCATTTGCTCTCCATCAGTGAGTTCATACACACTGCAGTCTGACATGTCCACCTCCTCTGTCACTCACTCAGACACACTCTAATGCAGCCTGCTATAAGCGTTTTGTTTCGGTGTTATGGTCCACCATAGTCTAGTCTGTCCGGCAGTTTCACTTTTATTTATCCGGAGTTTACAGCAGCTCATTTCACATTTGATGCTAAGCATGGGAGACACTTCTATAATTGCACGCTGTTTGTGCATCTCTTTTTCTCTGTTAGCATGCAGATGCTGAGTTTTCTACATGAGAATGCCCTTCAGCACAGATAGACTAAATGTATGTTAAATATTTGAAAAGTACCCATCTTTAAAAAAACGAGGTGGTTGTCTATAAAGCGAAATGTTTTTTAAATCAACTTGATACCGCTGTTAACTATGATCAATAAATAAATCATAATTAGACCTAATTTAAGCACTATTATTTAGTTCAATAATTCAATTGTATTTATGTTGTTAATGATTGTGATTTGCTTATTTGTATATTCATAACTGTTTATTTCTTACAATATTTTCAGTCTATAATATTTAGGCTAGTAGTTTCTAAAATTTAAAATGAGTAATTCAGAAATTTTATAGAGTTCTATATTGCATAATTTTACATAGTTTAGAACAGGGGTGTCAAACTCAATTCCTGGAGGGCCGAAGCCCTGCACAGTTTAGTTCCAACCCTGCTCCAACACACTTACCTGTAGGTTATAAACAAGCCTGAAGGACTCAATTAGTTTGATCAGGTGTGTTTAATTAGGGTTGGAACTAAACTGTGCAGAGCTGCGGCCCTACAGGAACTGAGTTTGACACCTGTGGTTTAGAACAACGAAAACATGAAATATTTTTATTTGACTTGTTTTTATTTTTTTCTTTGTTAGTTTTGTTTGTGTAGCTGGACCAGTAAAAATGTTGGCTTGGCTAGTGAAAGTCAGAACTGCTGCCTTTATGACCTGTTTTCACTGAGTGGTGCGTTTCAGTATTCTCTTATGGCAGTTTCCACTGTCAAAAGTTACCAAAAAGTGAAGTGTACCGTACCACTTTTTGGGTATCCTTTCAAAAGGGTACCTAGCATGACAAAAGGGTACCAAAAGGCGGAGCTAGATGCATAGCTGAACGCTATTGGTGTACAGCCAAAGCCAGGGGAATGAAAACAAAGGTAGTGCAATTTTTAAATACACAACCGTGACATTACATTGTAATACCATATACATATAATAACGAACCATGATCGACCCAAGCTTAAACAAACCTTGTCGTCGTCTTGATCAACAAACACAAAGCCAAGGATAACAAAATCTGCCATGTCCTGTTTTTGTGTTACAAAGTTGTCTAAAATCACGTGCGGTTTCAATTTCTCCATAGAGCTTGCGTGCACTTGCCCCATATCTATATTTGAAATAAAGAATTTCGAGCTGATGATAATAATGTGCGCATGACTATTGAAGTGTTTCTGACATCGAACGTGAGAGTGACATGCGGAAAAAACAAAGGAGAAGCTGGAAAAAACAAAGGAGCAAATCATTCTTTCAGCAACCTAAAACATGAACAAACGGCCATGATTAATTGTTATCATCATCTTTTGGACTATTATGAACTCTGAATGACAAAATTACTTTCTTACAAGAAGTTAAATGTGCTGGTGAAGATTAAATATATATATAAGAGGTTTGCACTGTGGGCTATATGTTTTTACTTATAAATGTATGTTGTGTGTAGTTTTTTTTCTGTAATCTGTAACATTTCAGAGACTGTAAGGGTCTGAATATGTTTATATATGTGGCATTTATTAATTTATTTATGGAATTACAGACAAACATAATCAAATTATGTTCATAGAAAGGTTAGTAATGAACATTAATACACAAGTATTCGTGTGTATAAAGTCTCTTTTGTGAGAAGTGCTTCTCATATGATACTTGAACGACTCGTACAGCCTTACCTTGATATTTCCTCGAGCGAGAATGACGTTGACTGAAACTTTCTGTCATACACCAAACCCACCATTGGTACCCTTTTGGCAGTAGAAATCAGTGGTTTATCAAGCCTAATAAAGGTGTCAGCAATTGGTGAGAGAGTCTTTTGATTGGCTGTTCAGCTGCGAATCAGCAAATAAAAACAAAAACCACAGAGACAAAACTAGCGATTCAAGTCAAGAGGGAACACAAAGCCAGCTGTCATTCTCTCATTTGCGAACTCTATGAATCATTAGTCATATTTGTACTGAGTGAATCCCTCTGGTGAGTGAGAAGTACTGGGAAATTCTGCCTTGATTATGGTTTGTATATGTGCAGCACTAGTTCTGGTTTCCATTTTTGAAGGATGACAATACAGATACTGCCACTTAAGTCTTTGGAAAGATACATTCTCTCATAGGCGCAGATATTTATATTCTCATTTCAGGTCGCTGTTGTCTGTTTGGTGTGTTCATGAGCAGCTTTTTGGTGTAGACTAGAAGGTATCAGACACAGCCCACCAGAGGCAACAACACAGTTGTTGTTGTTTTTTGTCACTGCTAGTTTTTAACGTCAGCTTGGTGTGTCCTGAGCTTTACACTAAACCATGCTTGATATTTTAACACTGGCCATTGCAAAGAATATATATGTACATGCATTTCAAAAGTTAGTTAAAGCTCTTGTAATATTTCTGTGTGGTGTCAAAAATGGTAGTGTAAATATTTTCAAGGTATCGTATTGAATAGGGATGTAACGGTATTGTAAATACCGTCATACCGCAATATTAATTTTTTTCGATATTACCGTAGTCGCATGACTCGGTAAAACTATAGGTCTTCTGAGAAAATTTGCTCAGGCGAATGAAGCGAACGGGAGGTAGCGAAAACTACAATTCCCATCAGCCCATGCTTGACCATCATCCCTTGCGGTCTGTTGTCGCTACAGATCCAGTAATGCGGAAATGGAGTGTGCTGCTAGAAGCGAGGATGAAAAGAGCTGGAAAACTCTAAAGCGGGTGTTGTCGCCGCGCGCTTACGGAATAGCGGTGTTGTCGCGCGAGTTCTTATCAGCTGTGTTGTCGCGCGCATACTGAATAGCGGTGTTGTCAGCACACTGTTCAGATTGATGCAGACATGAGACCTCTATCTTACTCATGGTTTGTCCTCTCAAGTGGGGGAAAGACAATGCACAACGTTACCCCACTGCTGTCAACCTGGGCTAAGTCATATCTCTCTTGTCCCAGAAACCTCAGTCCCAAATGAGAGGGTTTTTTCTATTGCAGGGGACATTGTAAATACCCAGAGATACCAGCTTTTACCATAATATATTTATATGATAAATTTCCTTTAAACCCATCTCTATCTAAGTGAGTGAGTGATTAAATGTTGAATGTGATGAGTTTTCAACAATACTAAATTGAAACTTTATTTTTTTACATGGTTCAATATTTTTTTGTTATTAAAATTGAAGTTCCTGTTTCAAAGCTTATATAGATGGCTAATTTATATGTCATTGACACTTTTGGCCCTTTTTTGGAGTATTTTCATAAGTTTTGTTTTTTCCTGTAAATGATTCAATAAATACCGTACCGTGACATTCATACCGAGGTATTACCGTACCGTGAAATTCTGATACCGTTACATCCCTAGTATTGAAGTAAGAATTATCTGTATTGTGACACTACAAGAGAGTCTTGCTGGATTATTTAATTCCTAGATTTAAATTTAATTGTGATTTCAATATGAATCTCAATTCATCCTGTCTCTGTTCTCTGCACCAGCTCTTGGTTTGGATAACGAGCTACCCGACTATGACATGGACTCAGAGGACGAGACTTTACTAAACAGACTCAACCGTAAGATGGAGCTAAAACCTGTGCAGTTTGAGACCATGATGGACCGGTTGGAGAAAGCCAGTACCAACCAGGTAACAGCAACTGCATTGAAGACCCAAGTTGTGTTCTTGAGTTGTGCAAAGTTAATGTAATATCATAAAAGCATCAAAATAAATATTACTGTACACTGTCATTTAAAAATTTGGGTTTTTAAAGATGTCTTAATTTTGTCTTTAAGATGTCTTAAAGTGTTGTGATGATCAAATTTAATTAATTAATTTATTAATACCAATACCAGTGTTTTATTTTAATATATTTAATTTCTATGATCGCATGACTGATTTGTTTACATTGCATTTGAGTTATTACAATATTATTTTTTAATTTTGACAATTTGAATTTAATATATTAATTAAAAAAAATTTAGCTCTGGATTTATTTATTAATTTTTAAATGTTCATGGCTTGCCAGTTGGTACTCTAATCTCATCAATTCACTCTACCCATTGTATTGTGCTTTAATGTTTAGATACGCACAGACTTTTTGTTGCTATTTTACAATTACATATATTAACATTAAAATAAGAAAACAACAATAATGTGTGGTTATAAATTTAGTAATTGATTGATAAAATGTGTGGGGAAATAAATTGAAAATGATTTACTCAAGGAATTGTGGGACAAGCAAATACTTGCACTTATAAAAATAATAATATTAATAATAATAATAATGCTAATAAAAATAATAATGGTTATATTAAAAGAACGTAATTTATATTAAATATAATGTAACAATACATACATGTGCATTTTTTTTAACAAGTGTTTGGCGTTTATCTTAAAACACAATATGGTTAAAATTGAATAATTTTTCCTAATGCAAATAATAGTATATTTTGTCCTAGTTGGACATGGGGAAAAAGTAAAATACTTTTATATTTTTTTAATTAAAAATATAGATATATTTTTATTGAAAAAGATAAGCCTTTATAGTTAGTTATTCAAACTATGTGAAATTATGTAGCTTAGCTATTTTTGTTATTATTATGTTTTTTTCCCACCTAACCATATTATACAAGTCCCCTTTTTGGTGTGAAAAACATTTACAAACAATGTAAAATGCACCTTCTAGCATGTAACTTTTTTCTCTCACCTTTCTCTGTATCTCTCAATAATTGTTTTGTAGTTGGTCACTCTTCAAGAGGCCAAGCTGCTGCTAAATGAAGATGACTACCTGTTGAAGTCTGTGTATGACTACTGGGTGAGGAAGAGGAAGAACTGCCGGGGGCCGTCTCTTATCCCACAAATCAAGCAGGAGAAGAGGGATGGTTCCACCAACAGTGATGCTTACGTGGCCTTCAGGCGTCGCACAGAGAAGATGCAGACTAGAAAGGTATGCATGTGCACTGTAGTGTAATGACATCAAACGCAGGGCTTCTTGTACAGTGTGAGACCCACTTTATATTATGTATTAATTAGGCAGTGTAGATGTTTAAAGAAAACAGACCTCAAACACGCTGATTTTGTAACTGCATGCATTTCACTGGAAGCGTTTGACTCAGGTTACTGCAAAATGAAAAGTCCTTATGCATACTTCTGTATACCCTATAATAACGGATATTCAGATATTCTGTTTTATGCTCCTATTATTCCAGAGAGTATAGTTAAGTAAATGCTTATAATTGGTATATAAACACTGATACCCGTGGTAGTGATCAAAATGATATTTCCTAATTAACTATTCAAATGATGATTGTATTGTATTGGTGGGCCAATAGGTGGCAACATGTAACCATTAAATGAATAAAAAAACCTTTCTCGATGACATTCATTGAAGTGACTTAACATGCAGATTTATACACAATTGAACTTTGAAAAAATTATGAAAGAATTTTGGCTCAAACGTTTTAACAAATGTTAATAAAATCTTTTAAACAGATATTTAGGGATGTTATTTATTGGATTTTTATTAAACAGCTACTAGAACCCTACTAGAATTTGGTCTCTGATCTGTAACCTCTCTCTCTATAGAATCGCAAGAATGACGAGGCATCTTATGAGAAGATGCTGAAGCTGAGGAGAGAGTTCAGCCGAACCATAAGCATCCTGGAAATGATCAAGAAAAGAGAAAAGAGCAAACGAGAGCTGCTGCATCTGACGCTGGAAGTCTTTGAAAAAAGGTGTGTGAACATTTCTATTTTTAAAGTTTCTTTTAAAAGAGTTTGTTGTTAAATAATTCATAAAATCAGTACTCAAAGTATAAATGTTTTTAGATCATGTTGATATTCTTGAGATAAACAATTGATTCATGCTAGTTAAAAAATGTATTGATTATCTTAATGGCATTCCTTCTGTGAAATCAGCATTTTATTCATTAATAAACGTAATCTCAGCTGTAACAGGAAGACAGGTCGAGACATAGAGCAGCCTTTTATAGATAGCAAATACACACATTCCCTGTACATTGACTAAGAATGTGTGTGCACTGTGCAATGTATTTTTCACATCTGGGCTTCCCGTAGAGTGGTGCTGAGCACAGCATATTTTAAAATGAATAGGGAATTCATATCAGCATAGCTTGGTTAAAATTTATCATTTTCTAAAATTGCAAGTATTTAGGCAAACCCTTGGGATTAAAAACACCTATTGACTGGAACAAATGACTAATTTTATTATGCAGCAAGTGTCTTGAAGGGCAGGATGTATCAAAAACTAGAGCACATTTTATTGGTCAAGGTTTGATGAGAAAGGTGACTTAAAAAAAAAAGAAAAGAAAAAGTTAATTGATTTCGTCAGAAGTAACAAACCTGAAGATTTGATTGGTTATATCTTCTACATGTTAAATTTGTCACTGTTTTTTTCACATGAATTTTGGATAACTCTAAATGATGGATTACATTAAGACTAACATACTGATATTAACACCTAAAAACTATTTTTGATTTCACTGGGACTTTAAGCACTTTTCTCCAATCGTCAATTTGCTGTAAGTGCGATGACGATGTGTGATTGTGATACGAAACAAATAAATAAATCTATGTTGCAGTTCATTTGGAAATGTCACAAAGCTTGATGAATCACTTGATGAATAAAAAAGTTTGATCATGAAGCCAGAAACTTTTTAAATGACTCTCCTCTTATCACTGCTCTAACATTTTGTTTCTCAAATGTTTTGTGTATTTTAGATATCAGATTGGAGACTTCTCTGGTGAGATTCTCAATGAAGTCACTGTACCTCTGGCTGAGAAAACCGTTTACCCTGCTCCCATATCCCTACCCATCAGCAGTCGGCACAAGACAGAGAACAAAATTAAGGTAAAATCTAACAGTAGGAGAGAAGAAGAAACTAAAACCTTAGTCTTTGAGAAATATGAATGTGCTCAGTCATCATTATAAAAAAACATATCCTGCTGTTTTTTTTCTCCAGTCACACAAAATTGGGCCCAAACACCTGCACCCCTTTCCCGTTAAGTCTGAGCCTCATTTTGACTTTGTGCGTTCTCATAAGAAGTACAACAAGAGGCCCAAACTTGATACGTTTCGCCAGACTGGTTGGCCAGAGCGAATACAGACCATTAACAAGGCAGACATTAAACAGTACGACTTCCACAGCTCTGGAGAAGAGGATTATCCACTGGTTAGTGTTCGGCTGAACATGCTCGTGTACATGTGTTTTATTAAGCCATTAGCATAGATAGCTTATCAATTATGTATTTTTTCTCTTCTGAAGTCTCCAGCATCAGAGCCAGATGAAGAGAACGATCCTGACGGAGTCTTTGCCTTCAGACGGAAAGCTGGCTGCAGTTACCATGCTGTGAGTTTCCTATTCAATATCAGCGCTGGCTATAGATCATGAAGAAATAAGCAACTGTGCACATCAAAGCTGGTTGATGTAGGAGAAAGGTTATGTTTTAATATTTAAGCTGCTATGAAATGACTTTAAGCATTTGTTCTCAAGGTTTTTGATTTACACACAAAGACTCAAAGATCTTCAAGTCCTAATTTATCTTCACTTTTGCTATAGTTAAAAGATACTGCAGTGTAGAGCTGCACGATATTGAAAAAAATCTTACATTGCCATATTTTGTTTTTTTGGATATATATATATATATATATATATATATATTGAATAGTTCTACTTGGTAAGAAATGTTTTGATTGCGATAATTTTCTGTGTCGTATAAATCATGTATAAAAAATAAATAACCCAATTGACACCAAAATAATAACAATAGAGCAGGGATCACCAAGCCTGTTCCTAGAGGGCCGGTGTCCTGCAGATTTTAGCTGCAACCCTAATCAAACACCTGAACAAGCTAATCAAGGTCTTACTGGGTATACTTGAAACACCCAGGCAGGTGTGTTGAGGTAAGTTGGAACTAAACGCTGAAGGGCACTGGACCTCCAGGAATAAGATTGGTGACCCCTGCAATAGAGCAATGAAAAAAGTCTAATAAACAGTGCTTTATGGTTTTCTGGAGAAACAAACAGTATTTATGTACAGAAACCGTATAGTTCTCATCGTGTTAAGTTAGTAAAATTATTCTTCATTAAAGTTACAAATGCACTTTTTTTGTGGCCAAAGGCTTTAAACTCTTTTGAAATTACTTTAGAATGCATGCAAATGACATATTTTACTCTGTTATGGTTATACTTTGCAATGACTCCACAAAACTCATGTATTCTCAACTGTTGTGCTGATCAACTATAATTCCAACTCAATACTGCATATCCTGCCATTGGACTATTGCAGACACACACGTTGCGATATCGATGCTGAAACAATATATTGTGCAGTGTGCAATGATTTAGAATTAATTGAACTAAAAATAGATTTCACACAGTCCTTATTTGAAGAAAGTATTGTTTTAATATTTGTTTCGCATTTAAAAATTGTTATTACAGTTTTTTTTATCATGTTTCCCATTTTCAAGAGTCTTTTCAGCTATGTTGTTTTCAAATGCATAATTTATTACATTGAAGTTGTAATAAAAATTTTAATAAAGAATATTATTTTAGTTATTTTTATTTTATATTTTAAAAAGTAAATGTATTTAATTATTTATTAAGCAAAATATTAAATGAGCAGAAAGCATGTCATGTATGTGGGTATGAATAAGTAGGCCCACAATGAATCAGTGTGTGCAGAAATCTGTAGATTTTTAGCCCATCATTTGTGTAAATTTATTTTAATTCAGTTTTCATAATAATTTCAGTAATACTATTTACTAATATGGAAATGTTTGTATGATTTCTTTAGAATACAGTTTTAGTTATAATACTGCCAAAATTATTCTGCATTAATCTGCATTTTTTTTTTTTTTTTTTTTTTACAAAAATCTCTGCAGAAATAATAAAAAATGTCAGCAAAAATTGTTCTGGCCCTACTCATAAGACAGGAAGTTTGATAATCGCATACTTACATTTTCCTCATTCCTCCCCTATCCTATGCTAATCTACCCTACTCTACATTCTACCTTACCTACTTTCACTTCTTTACCCTACAATGTTCTACCCCAGTGGTTTCCAGCTCCAGTTTTTAGGACCCCTCCCATGCTGGAAATTTTTTATGTCTTATATGTCCTGAGGAACGGAATTGGGAATCACTGCTCTACCCTTCGCTATTCTTCACCACTCTACTCCACTCTACCCACCCTTACTCTACTCTAGTTTTCTTGTATGTTGCACATGGCTAATAATGCTGCACGTGAGACGTGCGTCACTTGAGACCAAACCATAGTTTTTTGTTCTCATTTCCTATAGATTGTGCCATACTTCAGTATTAAGTTAACTCGGTGGTGTTGACTCAGTGGTGCTTTTAAAATTTTGTTTGTGATTGTTAAATGTGTGTTATGTGTCCTCAGCCGGTGGTGGATCAGAGCTGTTCTCCTCATTGGCAGCAGACGGGTCAGGATCAGCTGTGGCAGCGGAACTGTCTCACTGCCCTCTCTGTGCCTAGACGGTGCATCGCAGTGGCTTGTAGGAGAGTGGGCAGAGGTGGCAGGTATGGCCCTGTTTACACTTTTTGCATATGGCTTTTTAGCTTTTTCTTGCTGAGTTGTTCTGAGTTTATTTGTTTTTTATTATTTGTAATTCACAGTATTTCTTGCGATTTTAAGATTTTTTTTCTGAAACATTGAAACGTTTTTCTGAAACGTTGCGTAAACATCTCATGGCTTTTATCCTCTGAAAATTGTGACTTGCAATGACAAGTTTATTTGCTTTCCAACCTAAAAAATATACATATGTTTAAATGTATTTAATAGTCTTTAAACAAATTTCTCAAAATGATTTCTCTCTGAATTGAGTTAACATTTAGTTGATTTCCTGCAAAAAAGTTTTTCTCCCAATTCAAAATTAAGATCTCACTGTTCTGTCGTTCTCAGAGTTGCAATCTTTATAAAAACAAAGTCAGTTGTGAGAGGGAAAAAAAAGGTAGAATTAAAAATTTTAACACACAATTGCTAGTTTGTTGCAAAAATGCATACAATGCTGCAGTTGCCTTGTTTGTTTTTTGTTTAAAGGTTTATAGTTTCCTCTGCTGAATTTTGTTTCACTTTAGACTCGACATGGTGCAAAATATGCTTTTGTTTCTCTAGATAAAAACAGAATCCCTTATGATCAATTCTAAAGGTCACAGGTTTTGCCATATATCTGAAAGCACTGTTGTTCACCTCCAGGGTTGTTTTGGATCGCACCTCATCAGATCTGGATCATTCCCTCGGGCACCTGGACCCTGATATGCTTTATCCCTCCTCCGGCTCATGTGTGCCTGACCTCCCCGTCCACACAAATACAAACTCTCACGTCTCGCAACGCTCTCTGACTCAGCTTCTCGGTGACATCCAGGCCTGCAGGTGGAAGTTTTTTCGGCCTCGGCCGCTGCAGGACAACTCTAGGGCTGAGGACAAGAAAGGGACCCCGCCGGTGGAAAAAGGTGGAGGGACGACACTCTCTAACAGCGTGTCAGGTGAGGCATCTGAGCTCAAGGGCACTCACAAGGTCAATTAAAAGAATTCTGCTGAAAACAACTCTTTACCACTGTACTCCTCTATCTTTGTTTAGTTCAGGGTTTTTCAACAAATCCATCCTTTCATTTATTTTTATGTGGCCTGCCAGTTGTTTTGAAGAAATAAACTCTAGCGCTGTGTACATGATACTGACAAGAGTTCAGAAATTCTCAGTGGTTGTCAGTTTATGGATTGCATTCTATATGCTGAACACAATGCTTTGTTGTTGTTGATAATTTAGCTACATTGCTTTGATACATTTGAACAGGCTTCTTTTAGGTGCACACATTAAATTGTGCTCTATCCTGTCAGATGTATGCGTACCTGACTCCTAAGTTTTCAGAGAAAGACATGAGCTGTAGCAATTTAGCAGCTTGTGCACAATACCATTATGGCTCATTATTGTTTTTGGGTTATAATTCTTGCTTAAAGTAAAAGTATTGGATTGTAGTAATACATCTGGTGGAAAAAAAAGATACTGAGTTGTGAAAGCCTGGTTTGTTCACTTTTTTTTTTATGTGGCTTTAGACTTTTTTCTTGGTTGCTGCATGGAGAGCACTATATCGACCAGCGTCCTCCAGTAGGATGCTTTGAACTTCCTTTTACAGCGTTTCTCAGCTGATAATTCAAGATCTGAAAATGTTTCCCAGTACGGTTTTGAGTGGGTTACGGAGTGTTTTTGTGTTGCACAACTTTTATTTTGAAAGATGTGTGCTAAAGCCGTTATGCCTCTGTCAGATGCTGTTCAAGCGAGAGTGAAGGACACTCTCCTAATTCAGTGTCTGCCTTCAGATTAGATGCTGAAATACAGCGTCAGTGTTCCCAACCTGTCAGCTGTTATACTGTACTCGTGTGTTAAACGTTTTAGTGAATAACATTTGTTTGGGTTGGTCGTATATTTAAAAAAATGTGTAAAAAATCACTTTAGCAATGATGATGCTCTATTTAAATGGCACACATGCTGTATGACGATGAAGGTTGTTGCAGTATTAGTTCAAAGCCGTTAAAAGCAAGTAAAATAGATAAACTATCATTTCAAAGCTCTCCAAATGTGACTCTTTATATGCATCAAGCTGCCGACCGGAAGTTCGAAGCATCCTCCTTAGGCATATACGCAAAGCATAATAGGTCATTTTGCATTCTATGAAGTAGGTCTATATTAATTTCTTTTTATAAATGTTAAAGACATTCATGCCGTTTAATTTGGTTTGTGAAACCCATATTTTTTGTCAGGGTTCTAATTAGCTTTAAAAAAACACAAAAATAAAAATTTACACAAAAAATACATTAAAAAACAAATTGAAACGGAAATATTATATTAACAATTTGCGTTTTATCAGCTTATTCTCTTTTTACAATGTTAATATTTACAAAAAACATACAAACTACCCAAAATGAATTCTCTTGTTTAATTTCCTGAGTAAATGGCTTTATTGCCACCTAGTGGTGAAAATTAAAATGAGTTCCTTCTCATCCACAGAATATAACATTTCTCCCCATATCCTTGTCCATCCAGGTGGATTCACAGAAGAGCAGTTTCAGTCCCATCAGCAGCAGCTGGTTCACATGCACAAACAGTTACAGCAGCAAGAACTGCAGCAGAACTCCACAGCAGCAGAAGCTCACTTACACCTGCATGTGAGTACAGCCACATCAACACTAAAATACACCTCAGGCCTGACTGCTTATTACATCTTATGTCACAGGTTCTGGATCCAACAATTAGTGCTAACATCCACTCACATTGTGTGCATGATGTTTACATTGATAGCCAAATTGTAATTCATCTTCTATGGTTAAATGGTTAAAATATTGGTTTGTGAAAGGCTGCAAGCTGCAGCAATGAACATCATTATTTTGTGAAAGATTTACTTTAATGTTTGATATGTCTAAACAATGGTCATAACTGCTTTCGAGGCCTTTTTTTAGTTCAAATGAGTAGAGGTTTGGACATAGAAACAGATTTTATACACCACAATTTAAGAAATGGATTCTGTTCTCAAATTTTCTGTTTTGTTATTTTAAAACAAGAATATACAGTTGAAGTAAAAATTATTACCATTTTTATTCACTTTATTCACTTTTACTTACTTATTATTATTTAAAAAATATATGTATTTATATATAGAAAGTGATGTTTAATGGATGTATGTTTAATGCACTGTATTTCCTATATTTTGTCTTCTAGAGAAAGTCATTTTTAAATTTGGCTTAAATAGAACCACTTTTTATTAAGATCATTCTGTCTTATTCACTAATAATGGAGTACGTTTTTCCTATTATACACACATTTGTTAGTATAGTTTGATGAAACATCATAAATTAGCTTGTACACGATTAGTGATTATATTGTTAACCCACACTGTTGTACACTGACTTGCCTAATTAACATAACTTGTCTAGTTAACTTTATACCCTACTTAAGTCATTAAACCACTTTAAGCTCAGTTCTATTGTCTCACAAAATCAATAGAAAAAGTATCTACTGAAAACAATGTAGTTAATTGAAGTCTTTTATTAAAACTATTGTTTAAAAATGTATTGAAAAAGATAGATTTAAATCAAATTTGTGTGTACATACTGTGCATAAAACTGGTAGCTAAAAACATCAATAATAGGAAAAAAAATGTCTATTATTAATACAAAGTCAAAAGCTACTAGTTTCCACGATTCTTCAAAATATCTTTTTTGTATTCATCAGAAATAAAAAAACTCCATCAGTTTTAGAAATAGTGGAGGGCGAGTGGATGATGCCAGATTTTTTGTTTTGTTTTTTACTCTGACTTTAAGGAGAATTATGAATTGTGATCATGATCTCCCCTGTGTGTTTGTCTTAGACTCTGGACTCGGCTGGTGCTCATTTTGCTGCCTCTGCTGTGATCAACACTCCCAACAATGAAAACAGACCCCAGATTGCTAGTGTCAATGGCGTCCTTCCCAATTCAGGCAAGTGCAGCTCCAGAATTGTGAGACGATAGTGTAAAAACTGTGAAATATAAAGCATTCTCTACATAAAAGTGTCTGATTCAATAGTTCTTTGTGATCTTTTGTTCCAAATATTATATAACTATAAACGGCTTTATGAAACTTTTTTTAACAGAATGGTGAGCAGATTTGATTTGGACCTTTTATATAACAATATCAGGCTCTTTGTGGAGTGTTTAACAGAAAGAACGGCAAGCATGATTGATTGTTGAATTATGTCTGGTTTTTTTCTCCTTCAGGAAGCTTCAGACAAGTCAAAGTGAACCGTTCAGCTCCGAGTGGAGGTGGTGGTGCTGGTGGTGAATTAGGCTCTTTAGTGCGGAGTCCACAGCTGGCCGTCCCTCAGTCTCTGCCCCACGGACACGGGCACCTGAGCACTGTGAGCGCTGTGTCTCCTGCCCACACGCACCACACGGCTCGCCTCTGTGCCCCTTCACCCTCAGCCTTAAAACTGGCCAGTGTCGCCAGCAGTCTGGACCGGGTACCCAAAGTCACCCCCACTAGTGCCATCGACATTGCCAGGTCTGAATCTTTACTTAGTTCTTTCTTTCTTTCTTTCTTTCTTTCTTTCTTTCTTTCTTTCTTTCTTTCTTTCTTTCTTTCTTCTTACTATTCTTTACTTTCCTTTTTTCTTTTTTACTATTCTTTCTTTCCATTTCTTTTTTCTTACTATTCTTTACTTTCCTTTTTTTCTTACTAATCTTTTTCTTTTTTTCTTTTTCATTTTTCTTACAATTTTTTACTTTCCTTTCTTCTTTTTTACTTATCTTTCTTTTTTCTTTTCTTTTCTTTCCTTTATTTTTTTCTTTTTCTTTTTTTCTTACTATTCTTTCCTTTCTTCTTTCTTACTAATCTCTTTCTTTCTTTCTTTTTTCTTACAATGTTTTACTTTCCTTTTTCTTTTTTTACTAATCTGTCTTTCTTTTTTCTTTCCTTTTCTTTATTTTTCTTTTTTTTCTTACTGTTCTTTTTCTTTCTTTTTTTCTTTCCATACTTTTCTTTCCTACTTTTCTTTTTTTTTTCTTTTTTACCTTTTTTTTCTTACTTCAGATAGTGGGAAAAATCTGATAATTTTCAGAATAAAAAATGAAGTTATACACCATGTCCCAAAATTGGCATTTATTCACATTTAGTTTGTTTTTGTTACATTTATTTTGCTCTCCAATCCTTCATTAAAAAATTCAATAAAAAGAGATATAACTATGAAACATAATTATTGTGTTTAACATTAAGTAGAATTATAGATTTTTTTTCCCCGTTTTTGATAGATTTTCTAGAGTTATTGTTTGTTTTAAGTATTATATGATATATCAGGAATGATTTTATTTTATAATTATTATTATTAATGTTAAAAATGGTTGGGGTACGTAATTTTTTGCAAACTATGATGCTCATCTCTGATAAATAAAAAATTAGATCAATAGTTTACCTGATTACAAGCCCTGCTGGTTTAAAAAACTTGCTTTGAGGAAAACACAACAGAAAAAACAAAGGAAAATGAATTTTATTCACGTATATTACATTTCATGTTTTAATTTAGACATAATGTATAACAGGTGAACCTAGAATAGGTCGCCCTAAAAATCATTTAGAGATAACATTGTCTTTTTTTTCTGCACCAATCCAAATGTGTGGAGGCTTTGTTTATAGGAAGCTAATTTTATTACACAATGCACATTGAAATGTAATTTTCACCATCAATGTGCTTCTGAGTGACATTTTCTGTTTTTAACACAGACCGTTTAATGATGCTCAGAGGTGGCACAATTACATTTACATGCAAATGACAACTGTATACTTTCATACTGGGGCTGAAGTGGCTCATAGCAGATGTAACGTGGTTTGGTATTGGATGTTTAGTAACTTACCTGTGTTTGCAACTCTCCAAACTTGTTTTGGAATATAAACCACAGGACATTTCAATATTTATATTCAGAAAAAGTTGCAATTGTTTTGAGAATAAAATATAATATGATAACTGAAATGAGGTTTTTAGCATGATATCTGACATTTGTGCATTTGTCCTTATCGCAGGGAGAATCACGAACCAGAGAGGCTGGCTCTCAATGGATTATCAGAGACAACAGTGGCCATGGAGGTCACATAGCCCATCCAAAACCACACGGACTCGAGAGCTCAGAGCTGTGCGCTTCTACACGGACTTATACCCAATAGCAGCATATCAAAATATTAAGAGAAATTTGTCAATATTATAAGTGTACATTTTGTAAAATTGGGAATTATCACTACCTTGTAAAATAGTATATTTGTATCATTAGTCTGTCATTTCTGTTACTTGAATCCTAGATTGTTATTTTTTTCATCATGCTTTTGCACTTGAAAATGCAAGCAAGACAAGTGCATCAGTTCATGTTGGGATCATGAGCATGAATATAGGTCCTGCGTCACTTGTTTTAACTATTTATTTTGCAATGTTTACATTTTTGTATCTCGTACAAATAAATCCAATTTTGTGACCACAAAATGCAGACATAGCTAGTACACCATGCTTTTGTGCTTTTTTCCTCTATAGAAAAGAAAACATGGCTTCACGGATTCAGAAATGTGTCAGTTCAGGAGTCATCTCCCTTATCTCATGCCCATTTGCTTTTTTTTCTGTCTTTGTCTCACCAAGAATAGTATGTTAATTCTAGAGATTGATGGTCTCTATCGGAATTTATTGGATATTGGATATCTATTCGTCTATTCTAATGCATACATCTACCTATTGGAGAATTAGGGGGGCCCAACCAATGCCAAGAAGGCTGTATTAATCATATAGCTCTCTTATACATTTACTATCAGAAGTTGTAATATCTGTCTATAACTAGTAAGATTGTAATGTTATTACTTCTTTTCAAAACCTGGGGCCCTCATGAATAGTGGAACGTTCCTTTCCTACTGCAGATAAACATTTTAGAAACTAACCACAAATATGGCTAATTAACTTTACTTTGTTTGTGAACTTTAGTTATTTGTTAATGCATTGTATTAAATTTATAGATACCATTTAAAATATATATTTTTTAACATTTTTGCGTTTTATTTGCAAAAAAAAAAAAAAAAAAAAAAAACAATCTACAAAGTAAATATCTATAAAGAAAGAGAATGTTTTGGTTTTCAATGCTTGGGCCCCATATCTGTTTAGGGCCCCCAAATCACCAAATCCCCCCCTTAAGTTCACACCTGCAAATACTTTAGCTGCTTGTGATCCACCAAAGCCATTTCTGTAGCTTTTACTGCAAAAGTACTTACCTTAGTTTGGGTTGTCACAATGTGTGTGATAAAACAAAAATAGTTGCATTAATATTTCGTAAGATTTTGATTTATTTATTTATTTTACCTTTTCTTTTTTTGTTGTGGTACTTGCATTTAGATCTGTCGTGTATAAATGACGCAAACCACCAGTAGGTGTCAGTAAGTCATATAAAGCTTGATTCCCTTAATTTATTTAGAAACAAAACGGTTCACCATTGTTTCAGTGTGGTTTTCTGACGAAATTTGTCTGTTTACACTTGACATTTGATTATTTGCCTTATTGGCAGGCACTGCGCCACCGTGCTGCTCCATTTAACTTCATGAAAAAAAAAAAAAAAAACATTTAAATAAATAAATGAAGCTGGTCCAGGGGTGTTTGGGTTGGTACCAAAATTTGCAGGACACCAACCCTCCAGGACCGATTTTAGACACCCTTGTTATAAACCTTTAAACGCTATACATGAACAACAAATGTTTTGTTAAATTTTAGTTTTATTAGATTTAAGGAGCTTGTATCTGAAAACAGAAAAACTGAAGATGTGTAAAATGGAGGATCTTACAGACAGTTTATTAAATACAAATCAGCCAAGAACTAAAGGAGATTTCACTTGTAATATTTGTGTAAAATTGAGCATTTCTAATTTGCAGATTCACAGCTGAGAGACAGTGATGACGATGCTTCTTCACTCTGTATTCTAATTTCAAATAGTAAAAAAACTAAAACAGCAGTCACTATTCATTAAGCAAATTAATTGATCCATTTCAGCAGCTCATGGGAATAAATGAATTATTAAATCACTTTCTAAACGCTGATCTGATTTGTAGTTAAGCCAAAAGTAGTTATTGCTAATCCCTTTTTGTTCTTGTGCACAAAATAACTCTTTCGTTAATCTGAAATTCACACAAATAGCTTAAGAAAAAAACAAACATATACAAACACAAAACATAATACACCTGTATCTAGAAAACATTCACATTTCAGATAAGAATAAACAAACTCCACACAGAAGAAGAAAGCTTGAAAATAAACAGCTACAGAAGGAAAGCGTTCGACTGCGTTAATTTGGTGTTGTAGATCTGCTGTTGTTGTCAGAGATGCTCATGTGCTCTTCATGGCTCGCAGATCAAAGTCTCCACAACAAACTTGTTTTCAAAATGGCGGATCTTGTGGCAGTTCAGAGCCTCGCGCTTCTGCATACCTGTAGAGAAAAACATGCAGTGGAAGTGGTTTATGGTGGGCTGACATAGTTCAGATGTACATGTTTATATGGTGAACATACCCAGCAAGCATTCTTTGTTTGTAAAAAAAAAAAGTCTAACAGATGTCTAAACATAGTCATCTTGGCTAAAACAAGGCTAAATTTGAGCTGTCAGTGAAAATCTAATAGACGTCTAAGAATAGGCCAATCATTAAATAAACAGAAATGAATGGCTTCACATATAAAGTCTGTCTAATCTGTCTATTTTACTGACAGCCTAAGTTTAGCCTTGTTTAAGCCAAGCTGTCTACATTTAGATGTCTATTAGACGTCTATTAAACACAACATTTTTTGCTGTGTAATGAGAGAAAATACTGTTGCTTGAGCTCATATGGTGTCCTCCAATAATGTTGGCTCTGATGGTAAATATGAGCAAAGTTTTTTGTAGAAACTTTTCTGAAGGCCCCTGTATACTTTAAATGAAATGGAAAAATGAACTTAAATGATATGATTTCGAACAAACTCTGGCTGAAAGGAAGTTCTTTTTGAGTTTATCTTGGCTGTTTTAAAACAGTTTGTTTTGGTTCTTAAACACCTTTGAGCTTCCATTGGGCCGTGATGATTACACATTGAGTCTGTTCTGGAGCATCGCTTTTTTGATGTGCGATTCTGTTTCTCATTCCATGTGGGTCAGACAGGAAAACAACATCCTAAACAACAACACTAGCCACATGAACACATTATCCAAACCTTTACTTTACCTTTATTTATCTTTACTATGAGGGTGTACTCACATTAGGTACAGTAGGCTTGAACCGTGTCAAAGCGCGATTGTCCCCCTTCCCCTCTCCCCCTCGGCCTGCACTAGGCATGGGACGATAACAGTTTTTAAGGTATACCGCGGTTTGGAAAAGTCAAGGTTTTAAAACCGCCAAAATTATCTGTGATCCCGTTTCTAAGGTATGAGTAAGATTTTTTTTCTTCTTCTTTTTTTTAGTTTTTTAGAACAGTATCTCCAGAAAGAAAAATCTCCAAAGATGCCATTTTAAATTGTAAATTTTTGTAACTAATGAAGACAGCAGAAATCAATGATTCATTTGAATTATATAGCCTGACGTTTTTAATGATCCAAAATATTATAAATCTTTCAAAATATAAAATATATAGTTTTCAAAGGGTAAAAAAGTTTTTGTTTTATGCCCTGAGTGAGCACAATACCGTGATACTGTGAAACCGTGATATTTATCCAAGATTATAATAACATCAATATCTTATACTGGCCCATGCCTAGCCTAACCTCACTTTGCATTATTTACCAACCGGACCTGAGCATGCTTACGTCATCGATGATGGGACTGTTCAGTTTAACAGAGAGAAGCGCTCTCACTCGGCACAGATGAGATTGCTTTAGTTATATTGTTTTGTGTTACTTTTAGTGGTTTGGGATGCAGTGACACACAGACAACTATTTTGCTGAACAGATCAGCCACTTTTGACGCTCATAAATGATCACAATGTCCTTGTGCAGCAGGTATTAGGAGGTTTCCTGATGGTGCAGCTGTCATGCAGATAGGGGTTTGCATCTTTAATCAACTAAGACAGTTTTGCGTTCATTGAAAATTAAGAATGATTAATAAATCCATATGAAACAGTCCCTTAAAAGTGACATTGTGTTCTCAGGTTCGGGCTCAGGCACGCTTTGCACTCACACTACAAGCGTACCATGCCAAAGCCCAACTGAACCGTGCTCTGGCATACCTCTTCCAACCAAACAAGGACCCGCCAACTGAACCTCACCTGAGCCTGATTCAGAGCAATCACAATTCTCAAACAAAGCGGGACAGGGCCCTGAGTTTAGTGTCTGTCCACAGCAAAGAGAACATAATGTAAAGATATGGTACGCAGAAGGCTGTTTGACAGATATTTATGAAACTCTTTGTCTCTCTTAAATGCCATTGTTGTGTTTAGGTGTACCTGCGAGCAGCATGACACCTTTACAACCACACCTACAGCAGCACAGGGGCTTCAAAGTGTTTGAAAACAGTACACGTCACATGAGCTGCACTAATGTTTTTATCCTAACAAAACTTCAGACACCTAAAAATAACTAAATTATCTGGCTCAGGTGTTCTAATTGGGGTTAAAACTAAACATTGCAGGACACCAGCCCTCAAGGACTGAGTTTGGACACCCCTGATTTAGGGCAACAGATTTAGGGACCACTTCCCAAAAAGAAATGATTAATTATTAATAATTATATATAAGTTATACGGCATCTGCGCTTAGGTTTGTCTTTTTTATTATTCCCGGGGTTTCCATAATCCTGGACCAGGCCGTATCCTGAGCAGCTGCTGTGGTGGTTATGGAGGAGTGGAGAGCATGAGACTGATCCCCGTAAGACCCCAGTGACCAACAAGTCTTCGCATTGATCCTGAAGAGACAGCCTGTACACCAGCCGGTGACCACTCCCACCTGCAGCTTCTCTACGTTGGACGGCCAGCACTCTCTAGTCACCGGCGCCTAGATTGCAGCTCTGCAAAAGACGTTTGACCATAGGAGAAATGGCTGTGATCAACCTGCCGGGTTTCTCTCTAGGCTTTCTAATTTTCGCCAATTGGTGACGTTTTTTTCCTCGCCGCTGTGGCCACTGGCTTGCATGGTTCAGCAATTGTGGAGCTGAGCATCGATGGATTTACTCTTTAGTGTTTGAACTCTCAGCAGTGAATATTAAACCACGCTGAACTTCAACACTGAAAATTGGACTGACATTGTCTTAATTTACTATAATCTTCTATGTGAAGCTGCTTTGACAGAATCTACATTGTAAAGAACTATAAAAATAAAGATTAATTGAATTGAATAGATTTTTTGTTCCCAAGACTAATCTCAGATTTATTTTTGTCCACTAAACCATCCTCTTCCTAGAAGTTTTGATGAATCATCCTAGTTATCGCACTGCTATTTTTCTAAAGAGGTGACCAGATGTCCATTTTCCACAAGTTGAAATGATCCTTAATGAAAAGTCTGTGACA